GGGGGGGGGGGGGGCTGAGTGTTTTCAACGTACAAAACGCGCAAATCTCTTAAACGCCATCTAATCATCCTATCAAGAAGTGATCAACTCAGTTCAGTTCTTACAACCAATAACCATGCACTTTCGTGCGCCGGTTTTGGTCGCCCATTTGGATAAAATTACAGAATGATGATTAGAATTTTGAGAGCAGATTTAAGCGGAAGATAGCACATTTACACAGACTGAAGTTACAAGAACAATGAGTAGATGCATGAGCACCACTGTTTGCGACACCCAGACCTATCGCTCAGTGTCTCTGACCAACGGCGACCATCACCTCGAGGTCCCCAGTCAGGGAGCCTAACGGGACCTATGTGAGCCAGTCTCCTGGTTAGAGTTTCCATACCCTGATGCCAGGTCTTAGTTTAACCGCCCTTCATTTTTTTCCAACCGCCACCTGCCTCGGCAAGCATAGCTCGCCGTGGCAACCTATCTGGTGACATGCGTAGCACATGTCCCAACCAGCGTAATCTATGGAAGCCGACTACCTGCTCCAGTGGACGACCGCGATTACCTAAAACTCTACGCCTAACCTCAGCGTTGCTCGTCTGGTTTTCGCACCAGACTCGTGCAACGCTACGTAGACAGCGGTGTTCGAATACCAACCATCTATCTTTATCTTGTTCCCGTAGTGGCCAAGTCTCTGCACAGCAGAGCAGGACTGGCCGAATTTTGAGAGTAAATTCAAGTGGAAGATAGTGAATTTATATAGACTGATCTTACAATAATCGCTAGATGCACGAACGCCACTGTTTACGACACTCAGCCATATCACTTAGTGTCTCTAATCATCGGCGACCATCATCTCGGAGTCCTATTACCTAATATCACTATAGCTGCCCAGGTAGCTAAGCTGATCTACTTTCTCTACAACTTCCCCGGTCAGGATGAGGCTGGGGACTGGGCCAACCCAACCTTGTAGTAACATTTTACATTTTGAAGTTGCAAAGTGCATGCCGAACATCGCTACACCAGCACTGAAACTATCCAGAAAAGCTTGCAACTTACATGGATCATCACTTAGTAGCCCAATGTCGTCTGCATACTCTAGATCAGACAGTCGGCCACCTGGGAGTAAATCGATGCCGCTATCTCCGCACGGGTGGGCACGGTCGCGAGCTCGATCAGGAACGCGTCTAGGGAGGTCAGCGAGTTGGTTCAGATTGTTGACCAAAGCAGTGTGTTCGGCTTTGGGCCCCGAAGAACAAGCAGCAGAGGAATATGTCAACCATTCCTAATTCTCAAAGTTGAAAAACAAACAAGTGTTTAATGTTCGAAGTAAAATAATCAAAGGAGTCCCCTCTATTGAGGGAATGATACAGGACTCAAGCGCAGTGGTTGAAAGAAGGAAGTCGGAGACTCAGCCAAATCATTTGAAATTCGACGTAAAAGTATTCTGGAGGCGGCGACTAATTGATGCATAAAGGTGCCTTACCTAGAAAGAAGGAGTGACATGTTTTGTTCGGGATCTCGCACTCACCCGTCAAATAGTTCTTTCTCTTACCGTCTATTCCATCTCAATGGCTGACTGATTTTCTCCCGTGGGTACGGCTACAGTTTTTCCAGAGTTCTTCAAATCACACCTGAAACGTACTCCACGGTGCCCGTATTGAGGCGACTATGCTAGATCCTCATCGAACTGGGCCCGGTAATCTTGAATTCTTGTCTCCACGGTTCTGAGCCATTGTAGGAGAATGCAGGTAATTCTGTCACTGAAGTTCGCGCATGTTCTCATTATGGGCAACTTCAATTGCCCAAACCTAGTTAAATCAGTGACCTCTCTACAACCGTTTGAGAGGAAACTCGCACAGCTTATTTCATCCTATCCACTTTACAATTTTGTGAAGGAGCCCAAGAAGTTTGGAGCCAACCAGTCAACGTCGGTTTTGGACTTGGTGTTAGCTAACGAGGAACTGATGGTGGAAACGATTTCCGCTACAACTGCACTAGGACGTAGTGATCATGCTGTGTTGACGTTTGATTACATTTGCTATGCATCTGTACCGCATAACTACGGTTAGCTCCTGTATGCTTGGTGACTACACCAAACTTAAGATTTTGGCGAGAGACTTCCGATGGGAATTTCCCAACGAACAGTATGATCCCCTGTCATAGTGGGAATAATTTACGAATCACCTGACGGAAATGATGAAAAGCGTGACGAAGACCAAACGCATTACCTATTCAACCGATCAAAGATCAGCGATTTGAAGTGTAACAAACAAGTGGATTTCGTAGAGGAACATCTCATGGAGAGCCCAAAAACGATTTTTGTGCAACAACACATAGTCTACCTACTGCCTACTTCGAAACTACTGCACCAGTTTGGCGCGAGAAGACGATTTAATATACCAAGAAATACTGATACACCAGTTTATATCAAATCCCAAGTTGTTGTACAAATACATAAATGCCACCAGAAAAGTTAAGTCTAACGTTCCAGCGCTAAGATTGACAGAATATGTTTCAGTCACAACAAAGGAGGCAGCTGAAATGCTACAAAGTCAGTACGCTCAAGTGTTCACCGCACCTACGAATACCGGACTACGAATGCCTCTGTTAGATGAGGATATATCATATCCAACGCTCACCACAACTGATTTTCCCCCAAAAACCACAGCATCGAAACTGCAATGTTTGTAAAGGAATTCATCTTCGGGGATAGATAATATCCACCCACAAAATCTTATTAACCTGGCAAGTAACTTAACTCAACCTTTAGGCGAACTATTCCAACAAATGTTCAACGAAACTGTGCTCCCACAAACATGGAAACAAGGAATAATTTCTCCAATGTACAAGCGTGGT